AGGGCCAGGGTTCCTGAGAGTCTCCATTCCATTTGTCCATGAAATGCATTCCTGAATGCCAGCCGTGGAATCCTACTGGGCAATGACCTCACCTTTCCCTGTTGTTTGAGGTGCTCCAGTGCAACAAAAATCAAATTAAACACCAAAAGTTTGAACATTACAGCAGGGAACAGCACTGGACTCAGTCACATTCCATCATGTGGCCAGATTTATGAGATCAAATCATGATTTCTGTGCCTTTGTGCAGATATTACATAGATCCGCTCCCAAAGATTAAAACTGTAAGATTCAAGGTGTAATATTTAAAAGCTCACTGAAGTAGGTTTCTCCAAGAACACTTGTTATTGTGAATTATAAACATCGTTGGTTCCTGAGGCCTTTTATTAGAAACCACTAGATTTTTCTATGGCAGTAAGGGGATAGTGATTACTTTGTATATATAGGAACACATATCTTAGGCCAATTATGACAGGACTTGCTTGCAAGTATGCAAATTTGAGACTGTAGCTAATCTTAACTGTAAAAAGTAATCTTTCTCCTGCTAGCAAAAGTGAGCAGCTGTCCCAGTGTAAATATATTGCGTTCCAATCAGCTGGAGATCAGTGTTCACTGCTGTAGCTCAGAGTATCCAGCTCAATGTGCTTTATGTGCCCTGGGGTAGCTGTAGCAGCTGCTGAGCATCAACTCATATTCCATGGACATGCAGAGGAAACACCATTTTGTGGATTTTTTTTTAGTCTTATTTTTTGTTCAGTTGTTAAGATTTCTGTTCAGACTAACACCAGAGTAGCCATTTGCTACTGCTATTTTGTGTCATGATTTTGCATAGTGACTTTTTCCATCTGTCACTTCCTATATCCTAACTGCTTGACTAAATTTTGGTTTTCTTTTGGAGAAAATGAGAACTCAAACATTACCTAAACTGTAATGCATGTATGTTTTACACAGAACTACAGCATAGCTACAGATACAGATACAATCTGTAGCTAGATTGTGTAAACATTTGGCAAAAAACATTTTAATTCATATTATTAATTCCCAAAATTGTTAACTTGATGAAATAGCTTCATATACATAAGAAAGTCTCACTTTCTCAATCAATATACCAAAAGCAGTATTTCCAGCTCGATAGGGCAGGTGTGTGTTTTGAAGTTACTGCAGCTGCAAGTATTGTACTACAACTGACCTCTCAAAGACTGCAGGGGTCCCAAAGGGAGAGTGATATATTTTTTTAATCTCTTAAATTTAAGTTTCTAACAAGCATTCTACCTCCACCTCATTTTGGAGACAGTGGCTCAGACAGGTGGTTATTATTGAAAACTACATAGCAAAATGGAAGGTAAAAATCAGGTGAATGATATCAGTCCAAGAACGCGCCTCCCTGTTACTCTTCAATTTCTGGAAATAATCTTTCCCACACATGCCAGCCACGGATGCAGAGCTGGATATTCCCCCTATTTAATGCAAATTGTTGCATCATCACATACGCCCTCAAAGTACCTGCAGTAACAAGTTACTGCAGAACTTTAAATCATGTTTTGAACATGTCTTTATTACTGAAAAAAATGCAATGTTAAAAATAAGTAAAAATCTTCATTGAAGATCCACTTTACAGAAGATTTTAGTACGTATTTGCTATTTTTATGGTAGCAAAGCATAACAGTTAAAAGGCCACTTTAGATTATATCTAGAAAAGTCATTGAATGCTTCAAAATGTATAATTACTTTAAAATGTATGAGAATTCTTCATTTGTGAATCTATGCTATAAATTTTGCAGTTAACAATGCTCCTTAGCAATATGCAAGACAGTGCAAATGAACATTAAAACAGTTGACATAATTTTACATACATTTAAGGATTATCCCATCGCAGGATACAAACATCCCTCCTTCATAATAAGATAAATTCACATTTCATAAAACATTCTAAGTGCTTTGAAAATGCTTATCAAAGGTGACATATTCCGCATTACTAAGAGGGTGAGGTCTTCCACTGAAAAATGCCAACACTGGGTTATTAATTTATACATTGTTGATAGTTTCCATTTTCATATTAATTAATTGGTTGGACTCGATGATCTTCTTATTCCGTTTCATGGTTTAATAATTTGGCCAACATGGCAACTGCTTTGGTAAATGAAATGAGTATTGAAACAATTAACTCTTGAGTTTTTGTCTTAATCAGGGGTTCTTAAGTCCAACAAACCCAAGTCAGATCACTACAGAAGGAATTTCTTCTAAGGATAGAATCAAATGGAGTGCCAAGAAAATCATTCAGAGCTCCTACTGTAAGTAGACAATGTAAACATCTCCATGTTTCATGGTCCTTCTGTGAGACTTCAGATTTGCAAACCTGCAAGATTAGCTTTTAAAAGGCATGAAGTTAGTTCTTTTTTCAGCTTTTTGAGTTCGCTTCTAGGTTTGTCTCATCACCTGTTCTCCTCCCACCTAGAAGTGACTTGACGATTACATAGAGGAAGTTAAAAAAGATATTTTGCATCATTTAATTATGAGCCCTTAACTATCTGAGTAATGTTGATGGAGTCCAGAAAAATGTGTCTTGTCTGCCTTAGGCAGCATAAAATGGGAACATGCTTGATCTCAGAGGGGAAAAAAGGCACATGGAGAGATTGGAACAGGGAACTTGCACTTGACAAATGACCCAAGCATGAGAAAATTAACTGGCAAAATATTAACACTTCATCTTCTGAGAAGCTTGGCATTATCAGAAAAGAAGGATTCACTGTACCTTTTTAAAAACCACCCAACCAAACAAAAAAATCAACCAAACAACAAAGGAAAAAAACCCATTGTCAAAGCCTATTTCCCTTCTGAGCTAATCAGGCTCCAATTATTTAAATCACTGTTCTTCCCAGAAGTTGTATTCTGGTGCAACAGGGGTGTATCATTAAGTGTCCCTCCACTGGAAGAAGCAAATCACAGTTCTCTATTTCTCCAGTTTCCATCCCTGAATTTCCACTGTTTTTCTTGATGTTACTCTCCTTTTATAATCATGGCAGTTACAAAAGTAAGGCCCCTGTGTGTAACCCCCAGCCCAACCCCTTGGTGAGTCAGAACAACAATGACTTGTGAAGGCTGTCCGATTTCAGGGGAAGGACTACGTGGTTTTTACAAATATAGGGGCTGATCCTGTTCCCACTGAAGTCTATAGGAGTTCAGCTTATGAACTGGAAACTTCTCTCAGTCTTACCTGTATTCAGATTCTGTAGCTGTCCAGCTCCTTTGGCTATTCCTTCCAAGTCTATAGCTCCAGAGGTGGAAATTCTCCTATCCTCTAGTGTATATGCAGACAAGTGAGGGGGTCTGATCCCACCAAATGATGTTTGGTGGGTGTTGACTAATTTGCAGATCTGCTCTTTTGGGGGAGGGTTGGGGTTTTTTTGCTAATATCTTGACTTCCACCTTGGGAGGAGTCAGATGAAATGTATAAATTGTGAGACAGAAGCATGACTTAGTTAGGATGAACAGAATATGTCAGCTGAGGTAGAGCTAGGCACCCACAGAGCAGTCAGCCAGGGAAACTGTTGCTTTCCAGCTAAAAAGCATGACAAGCCTCTCTCTGCTAATAAGACAGGGAGCACAATCAGGCAAGTGGAGTAGGTGCTGTTTACTCAAAATCTCCGTTCCCTAGTACTACATCAAGCTCCTACTCTGAGTCTGTTGATAGATGTCATATACAAAAGTCCATCTCCTTCAGATAGGACAAAGAAATGGAGAATGAACCAAAGGAGCACTGCCCTGTTTTCTGTTGCACCAAACTAAGGGCATTAGATTCAAAGACTTCTGTTCAATTACCTTGACATGTAACCACTGAGGCTTCTAGTCTTGGCATTCCTGTGCCAGTTTTGCAGAAAAGATGCCTCCCTGTCTTCAACATAATGGAAAGACTTTGCTCATAGAATATCTCCTAGAATGGCAGAATCATATTTCAGGAATATTAAATCATTCTGCATTTCCATCACGAGTCTTAGGATTTCTAAATTCAAACAATTTAGAATTTAGATCACAAACTACCCTCTAAATAGTGATTTGATGAAACACAGGAACCCTGTGGAAGGCTGTGTTTTTCTTAAAATATGACAGAAGGAATATTTACTTTGAGTACAAAATTGTTTCATTAAAAAAAAAAAGCATGGCTTTGTAGAGATTTTTTCAGAAGTAAGATTCATGAGGAAGCATCAGTGTCTTTAAAGCCCTGTTTAAATCTCAGGTCAACATTATACTTGTATTTTGTTGCAGCAAACATGACACACATCACAAATAATTCCATTCCATTAAGTAAAAACTCTCCTAGACTAACATGAACTTACTTCATATCGAGCTGGAGCTTTTCACTGTACATGCAAACATGTAGGAAAATATAAAATTCAGATTGTAACTTAGCTAGGGAAAATTATGACTTTTTAAGGATTAAGAAAACTAGAGAGAGAGAGAGAGAAACCGCAAGTCTTTGATTTCTACAGTTGACATGTCAAAACAAACCTATAAAAGAAAGTATCAGGACAAAGACTGCTTGGGTAATGTACACCAATAAAGTGAAGTCTGTCCATAAAGAAGTCAACCAACTGTGCCTGCAGCCTGTGACACAAGCACGCTGGATGCTCTAATGTTCAAGACACTCTACAGAACCAAGACTTAGGTGGCGTGTGTTTTCCACTGATCTTCTAAGTGCTCTTGCACAGGAAAACCTTATTTGTAAAGTAAGTGAAAAGATTAATCACTGCTTTTTCATGTCTCTCCCACATACCCTTCTATGGATAAAGCTTAAAAAAAAAATCAGTAACTGAAAAAACTAAAATGTGACAAGTACATTGCAGTTTGAGATATATGTCAGGTAAATGATTTTTCAGGTACTCTTCTGGCATTGCCTGCATATCCACAGAGTTCATAAAACAACTAAATGATGATTTATGCATGGTAACTTCCTAGGCAGTAATTGTTATGCCAAGAAAAACTTATTTACTGATTGCAGGCACCCATACAATAACAGACGGATTTTTTTATTCATGAACCAATCAATCAGTGTGAAGCACAGATGGTGAATGGTGAAAACAGAAAATACAAGGTTCATTTTTCCTTCATTTCTAAAGAGAATGTCTAAGCTATATTGTTGTCACTGAGAAGTGGGTCTCTGCTGTGAAATGTAGAACAAAATAATGTGGGTTGACCTAGAAACTGTACAGTTTCTGTGGTTACAGAGGTAAAATCACGCTGCACAGGCAACAAAACATAAATTTCTATGGTACATTTGTAACTTGGCTCATGTATTTGTCTTTCGAATCACAGAGAATTCAAGAAATGTCAAGATATTAATTCTGAAAATCAGATCAGCTACAAAAAAAAAGAAAATTACCCTAAACCTGTAGCACTATTTCAGTACTCAAAAGCTGTACTTAAATCTGTGGGAACTACAATGAACTTGTAAAGACTAAACACCACATCAACATTCCCAGCACCAGCTCAGGAACTTCACAACTATTCCATTGTTTTATTTATGAATATTACAGCTCAAGCTTGCTCAAGTTCCACAAGGACTCCATGGCAATCTTTAGGGTGAAGAAAAATCACAGGTTTGCCATGTGCACCTATTTTTGGCTCTTCACTCAATATTCGTATCTGTTTTTTCTTCAGTTCTGTCATAGCCGCTTTAATGTCATCAACCTTATAAAAAAATACAGTTCACACAAATTAACATATGACACTGTATTATGCAGACTTCATGCTTTAGGAATCCCTTACTAAAATGTTATTTCTAAATTCTAATATAATTCTGAAAATAAATTAAATTATAAAACCATTTAAAACATCTAGTCTTAAAAATAAAAATAATACAGAAGTTATTTGAACATTTTACAAAATATTGTTTAAATAGATTGTTATATTTAAGACATTAATAAACTAAAATCACTCATGCACAAAGCCCATTGATTTTTTTTATGTTGTTACTTTATAAGGATTCCATAAATAACCTAAACTCTGCATTACTATTACTAGGAAGATCATATTGCTTTCAAACTATCCGTAACGAAAGAAAAATGCCTCCCTTTCTAATTGATGGCAGAACACTGACTCGTTAGATGCTGGTGAAAAGGCAGAGCAATGGGCAGAACCGAAAAGGAAAGGCCCTTTTAGATTTATATATCCTCCTTCTGAGTAGGTTAAGGTTCATAAAATTTCCTAAGGAAAAAAGCTTGGAAATATCACAAATATACCCAGAATAGGACCTGGTCTTTCTATTGAACTTAGCTATAATAGTAGCCATTAATATTTCAGTACAGTTTCCTACAGAAATACATAATTAACAAAAACATGCCTATGCTGCGTAGTGTGATCTGAAGTCTGATGTCATGAAATTTGAATTTTCTGAAACCTTAAAGGCATTCATTTTTTTAAATTATAGCAAATCCAATAATCAATAATCAATAAAGACCTAGAATTAAAATAACAGCATTGCTATTTTTCAAGACTGGAGTGTCTGGACATAATTTGGCGAATAAACTCTCACGATGCCGTTGCAGGGAAGAAGGAAATACCTGGCTTTAATTCAGAGCAACAGGCATCACCTAATTCCTACTCATTTGCAGCAGTTTTGTTCACGTATATTCTACACTCACTTCAGTTCTTCCCACACATAACTACCAGTCTGCTAAAAGCAAAGAGAAAATGGCTGTCTTACTCTACTAAGTGTCCAGCATACTTTTCACTGCAGGTATTCAATTCAATTATGACTGGTCAGGAGTAATTTAATTTCTTCTTAAAGTATTTATCTTGTATGAAACAAGTTCCCTATCAAAACATCTATCTAAATTTTCCTTTGTACAAGATGGAAGAAATTAAGAGTGTTTTGATAAACTTGTTAGGTTTCCTCTTCAGTATGGAAAGGATTTTTTCAATTCAGCTTTTTGCAATAAAACTGTTCACAGAACGATATTTCTACAAAATATTTTTTTAAATTTCAAATGAACAATCAATTGACACTGACATTCTTTAATAGTTTTTATTAAAACCATTTCTGCTTAACTTGTAAGACTACTTACCTTTGAAATGGTAAGATTTTCCATTCTGAGAATGGGAAATTGGAGGAGGGAGGTTAACATCTTTATGACTGACAATGGTAGGGACCAGATTTGTTTTTCAGTCCCACTTAAATACCAGTTTAACGATGGATAGCTTTTTTCTCTGCATAAATTAGTCTGTAATTTTCCATTTATTTTTATCTGGAGACAAACATGACTGACTTAGGACAATCTTTTTCTTAATTTCTTAATTTTTAAACATTATTATTATTTTTGTGTAGAGCTTATATTAATGAGTCACAAGACTTCATTTCAGAAAATCTGATTGCACTAGTTTACCCGATTCATTGAAACTATCTGTTAGATTATGATTCCTGGCTTGCTTGACCTACTGTACAGAGTTATAAATTTTCTTTTTTAACAGAAGATTCTACATTGTCCAACATAATGCCTTTCCAGTTATTTTGTCAAAAGGAAAAAAAAAAAAGGAAAACTGTAAATGTAGCAAGCTGTGTTTGCAATGCTTATTGTCTCCTGTCTCCTCTGAGGCTGGTTGTGTCGCTTGTCACTGTTTGAAATGGGTGCTAGGTGCTTCTTGAGAGGGCTGCCACACTTGATGTTAAATGCCTCAGTGGCTTCTTCTAAAGTTTCCAGTACAGGTAACACATAAATTACTTTTTTGTCCCATTCTTCTCAATTTTCATAATCAAATCGAGAAGTAAATGACTTCCCTTGACAACCATCTGGTTCATCTGCAACAAGATCATATCTCATACAAAATGGAGATCTACATAGAACAATTTCAGCTGCTAACATGTATTTAAAACTTCTTAAACAGTATTACATATACTTGAAACCCTTGGGAGCTTTGAGCTCTTTTTGCTGAGAAATGCCTACAATTTCTTTCTCTTGTACCTGTAAGTGAGAACCACTGGTCTTACAGAGGGCTGGAGGCTTTTTTCATTCTTACTGCAAATTGCTTCTTTCTTCTACATTCCCATTTCCTAACAATTAGGGTCAATTTAAACAGAATTAATTTTCTTGATCATGGGCAATTAAGCAAACTCAATGCAAGAAAAGTTGCAATGTCTATGTGTATGCAAAATTTCTCAGTTCTCAATGAGAGCACACAACTGCAAACACTAGTCTTTATAGATGTATTGTGAAAACAATTTTTACTCACATCAGTAATCCCATTACTTTTTAATATTACACTTTGCATAATTACAGCTGGAAATAATAGTTTGCAAGACTCAGCTCTGTAAAATATTTAAAACATATAGGCAGCAGCATAAAATTGGAGGCTTTACTCTGTTTGGTAAACACAACTGACAAGCTCTTTTGACTTCTGTATATAATTATCAACTAAATATCAAACAGGAAGAAACTTTCTAAAATCTAAGTTATGCCTTAGCTTAAACCTACAACTCTTCCCACTGTATGTCCTTCTAGGTCAGGAAGTTGACACCTATCCAACCCTGTTCAGAAGTCCTTGGGGGTGTCCACCTTCCATAGTGGCTACTTAACCCTTCCTTCCCCAATTTAGTCTTTATAGCACACAAGAGGAAAAAATGATCATTAGCTCATGACACTGAACTGTGATTTCCAAAACTGAAAAAAAAGGCATGTTTAAGACTTCTTACAAAATAAAAATTCTCACAGTTATGACAGCCTTATATAGTTGTTCTTGACACAGGTCAAACCTGTGAAAAAATAAGCACACTTTAATATATCTCATTATGTAATATATTGTGTTAAAATACCTCAATGCAGATATGATGCATTCCTCCAGTCTTGTTTTTTTGCAGAAAACTTGCAATGGGACTTTTCTCTCCTAAAGGATGTAGAAGTTCCAGCTTGGTATTTCCCAGCTCCACAAAAACAGTGTACACACCATGTTCAGGAAGAGCAACAGTCTTGCTCACCTGGGCTCCCAACACATCTCTGTACAAGGACTGAGCCTTCTCCAGATCAGGCACTGCAATGGCCACATGGTTAAGTTGGCCCAGTTTCCACAAACAGCTTGGAATGTTCTGTGAAAAGGACTTTGATGATGACAGAGTTCTTACTGTGGGAGCTGATGTCTGCAATCTGGTAAGAAGCCCTGAAAAAGAGTGAATAGCACTCAGACAATGCTTTTGAGAAGGTATCAATATCTGCTCCTTCCCCTTTAAGGGCTACAGGACAGCAATGTCATTTAGCTCAGTGAACATTTTTTTCAGAGACTAAGTAAATATGCAGAAGTATAAAAAAAACCAAAACCCCAAACCAGACTAAAATCTAGTGTAAATCCTTACATATGCCTGTTAAAAAGAGGAATACATGACCAAATGTAACAGTCAACTGTATAATGTGCTCAACAGCACATTCTGAATCTTTCAGAGCTTCTTACAAAATAAGAGAAATTAGGATATGGCTATACATCTTCAGTTATAGCAAACCAACAAGAAAACCCAGATGAAACCTCGGATAGAACTGATACTGCAAGATCCAAAAGATAAAAGACTTTAGCTCTCAGCTGTCAGGACTAACTCCAGCAAGGAATTAAATGTCATGTTACATCTGAGGCTTAAGGAATCCTAAAATCTCCTGAGTTTGATTTTTTATCTTTCTTCAGTTATTAAGTCACTTGCCCTTCTTACTTTTCACATGCCATACAGGTCTTATACTTTGTTTTACTGATCTATTTTAAGATGCTTAGAAATGTTTCAGTTCTAAGTACTTTGCACAATATCGTGTCCAATGGACCAATAATAATTTAGATTATCTTTAAAGGCCAAAATCATAATAGTTTGCTTAATTTAACTGGTGCCACTAATTTCAGTGTGACTTACTGAAGAAAAAGAATATGATCTGGCTCATCATAAATGAAAAGTTAATTATAAAAGAATACTGGATGACCACATGACACAAAGGTTAGGGCCAACAAGTAGAGAAAAGATGGAGAAGTCATGGAGAAGCACAGTGTCATGAAAAAGGGCTTAGATTCTATCTCCAGAACTCTTCAAAGACTGCTCTGACAAGGCAATGCTGATCTTTGCCCTGTATCACATTGCTGCGTTGGTTACAAGTAGTTATAGGGTTGCTTGTTTTATTAAAAAAATCACAAAAAAACCCCCCAACATACGAAACAAGGATACTTACAAACAAATTACATTAAAGATTAATCTGTCAGAGTACTAGAATCTGGAGAGGGTGGGGAGGAATTGTGATCGTATCCGTTTTTTCCAGCACCAGAATTCGAATAAGATGAAAGGATATATTCACAAAAGCCACACTTCAATTCCATGCCAGTTTGCTTTAGGCCAAGTCAGAGTCCCCAATGCCTCCAGGCCAAGCCAGAGGCACTGCAGCATTTTGGAAGTCTTTGAGGCATTCTTAGCTTTAAATTCACAAATGTGCTACTTTGCTAAGAGATTGTGCCAAGCCTGCCCTGAAATTCTGGATGCCCTGCAATAACCGAGGACAGCCTGCCCTGACTCCTGGTACTCTGGGAGGGCAGTAGTAGCTGTAATAAATCAGTTTATCTTCACTGTATGAAACTTAGAACTACCATTCCATGGGAATTCAAGACTCTACAGCCATCAGTTAATTTTTCTTCCCAAAGACAACTGATGTAATCCTTTAAGCCTTTCTGAGCATTGTGCTGTGAAGGAAGAAGAAATGTTTGTGTGCATTTGACACTTAGAATTACAACATGCAAAGTACATGTTACCAAGCACTTAGTATCACTAAAGTAAGTCTATTCAGAATCAACATCCTACATTAAAGTATTTCCAGAAACTTGTCCAGTTCTGCAGGTCACTGCCCTGGACTATTTCTTGCCAGACTTTCACGAAGTCCATCCTGTCATCTCCTTCATCACAGCCAGGAGTTCTGGACAATTCTTCTTCACTTGTTACCTTTAGGTTCTCATACTGGTATAGTACAGCAACTACTTTTCAACTTTTTATTATGTGTTCAAAAAATCCCCTAGCAACCTCTACACAGAAAAATTCTTGGGTTTGAGATGTCTATGCTGAAACTATTTTGTAGATAGACTTCCCATCTAAATGCATCTGGATGAGGGGTGATCAAAGCAGTTCCCTGAGGAAGCAATACTGTGCAATGCCTATAATGTACAAGATAAGAAACATACAGTGTCTAGGTGACATGATTAGAAACATGGATAATTAACTAGAGTTTGACCAGATCAACAGAGTAAATAATGTGTCAAAAAAAAGCAAAAAAAACCCCCAACAGTCTTTTGTATCCACCTAAGCTTCTACTGAAGCAGCTCAGTTTCCTACAGTAACTTTTAAAGACCTGATTCAATTCTTGCTGAAGAGAAATTCTTCCACTTGGAGAAGGGCAGTATTCTCCAAATGAGAAAAATCCTTTGAAACAGAAGGATCTCTTACTATACCATTTGTTATGTTTCCCAGAGCCTTTTATTGTTTTATTCTTTCTTCCAAATATGAACAGACCAGGGTTTTTTCCAAGCAATCTTTACTAATAGGAAATACTAAGATTTTTCCCATTCTTTTTTACATCTCCCATCTGTAATTCTTGCTGCACTTCACTCAGGGCATATGACTACATGGTTATTATAGTTTAATTTGTATTTTTTCTATTTTCAAGTAAATTGACAGAGACAGATTGTTACTCAGTTATTACTGAAGCAATAGCAAAAATAGCAACAGAAAATGTTCTTTCTGTTGGGTTCTGCCCAAGAAATATTTGATTTTTGTGGTGTTTCCTGGAAAGACAATAAATTGAAAAAGTGAAGTATATTCCTAGGATTCTTGTAAAGTCAAAAATACTTAAATACCCACTCATATAGACATTTATTCCATGAAGTCTTGTGAATTTACCCTAGCTCTAGTCATATGCGTATAGAGCATTAATTTTAAACCCATAATTGAATTGACTGAGACTAAACAAAAAGCATTCACATTTTTCTTGCATTATCTAGATTAGTAACTATATAGATTACTTAAAATTCTAATCTTCTTCTAATCCAATAATCAGAAAATGACACTGCAGTGAAAAAAACCTTTTCAGCAAACTTCAGATTGAAAACCCATTACTTCCATGTCTCAGGAAAAAGCCACTTATATTTTTATATATATCAAAGAACTAGTCCTATTAACTGTTGTGGCTAATTTCTTCAATCAGAAAAGCATTTCTCCACTGACTTACAGAATTATTCAAGTAATTATTAAGTTTCTCCAGTGTTAAAAAACATTACTTTCTGTGAGTCTTGTGAAGCCAGCAGACATGACTGAAGCATCCATCCAAGTATCTGTCCTGCCTGAAAAGCCTTCATATGCCGACCCAAATCACATGTGAAGTTGCTTCTCCTGGTATACACAGCATTTGCCCCTACTGTTTTTGGTTTTTTAATAGCTCATTTCTCAAACACTGACAAACAAATCTGATTTTGACTTGCTATTTTGTCCTTTAGAGAAGATCCAGCTGACCCTGCTCTTATAGATGAATGCTGGCTTCCTAGCCTCAGTGATACTGCAGAATATATGGAACCTTTTCCAGCTTCATTTAAAGAACATTTTTAAATTGGTCTATTTGGGTTTTATTCTGTTCATGGTTGACTGATCTACTAGTATTATGCACATCAGAGTTAAAATGTAGTTATACCAGGTGAGGCTTACATTCTGTGACAGAGCAGATGATGAACATGAAGTAACAAGTCCCATAAACTGAGATCTCCATCCCTCAAATGTTGATTCATAGGCTTGGTGCTCCTAACATGGGGCACTGTTCACTGACTTACATGGCTAAGGAATCAAACACAAACCAAAGCCAACTGAATTGAGTCAGGTTCTCTGCGGGGAGGTTTTACAACAGTGGGTTGCAGTGAGAACCCCATCACTGGGCACTGCTCTATTGTCAACCATTTCAGGTGGAGAAGAGCTCCCAAGCATGGAGAGGATGCTCTCACCACAAGGAGCCAAGCACGCAGGGGCTGTGTGTTGTTAGCCCTCTGGACCACATGGAGCAAGGGCACAGTCTGGCCATCCTTAAATCCCAGCAATTTCAAGGCAGCAGGAGCATCTTGGGAACTCAGTCAGCCAACTAAGGTTAGGTCATCCATAGTGCTGCTCTGCTGGGAGCTGGAGGGGGCTTTTGGGAATCAGAGGGGCTCCACAGGTCACAAAGACTGAGCTCTGGTTTCTTCCATCGAAGTGCATTTACACAAAGGTGTTTTCTTTACCAATATCCTACTGATCGATCACTGACAGCGCCGATTCTCTCATTCACTTTTCTCTTGCCGTCTATGGCTACCAAGTAAAATAGTGTGGTTTAGGTATGGTGAGTTTAACCTACCCTCACTTATTAGTAAGAGAAAAAACAGTCTAGGTTATCATAACGAACAGGAAATGAAGTTGAATTTCACCTCCAAAAAAGCCAAGCTCCGACTTAAAAAAGCTAAGCTCCTCCTCGCGCCTCAAGTTTGGAGTTTGCTGCACAAATTCACTCTAAGCCAGCTAATGCCAGTTGTTAATATGCCCGTGAATTGGATCGGGAGACCTTGTTTCTATTGAAAAAGCAGTGGTTTCGTCTGGCCTGGGAGGCGCTCACGGAGATCGCCCTGCCGGCCCCGGGCACGGCGCTCCCCCCGGCCCCGGTACCGCCCGCCCCGTTCCTGGCCCGCCCGCCCTGGTCCGGTCCCGGCCCGTTCCCGCTGCCCGTTACCGGCCGCCCCGCGCCGCAGCACCGCCGCCATGTCCCGGACCGCCCCGCCCCGCGGGTGCGGACGCGGCGCCGGGGGCGGATCACGACGAGGCCGCCGCCCGCCAGCTCGGCGCCAATTGGCCGCGCCGTGCGGGGGGGGCGCCGTGCTCGCCGCTGGGCGCTACGCGGAACTGGGGGAGCGCTGCCAAGGGGGCCAAACATAGCCAGAGACATCTGCTGAGAGAGCGCTTCTGACCAAATCACACGGGGTCACAGGATCGATGAGGCTGGAAAAGACTTCTGAGACCGTGGAGTCCAACCTGTGACTGAACACCACCTTGTCAGCCAGACCATGGCACTCAGTGCCACGTCCATTCTTTCCTTAAACACCTCCAGGGAAGATGACTCCACCACCTCCCCGGGCAGCCCATTCCAATGTCTGATCACCCTTCCTGAGAAAGAATTCTACCTAATGTCCAACCTAAACCTCCCCTGGCACAGCTTAAGACTGTCGTCTTGTTCTGTCCCATGTTCCCTGGGAGCAGAGCCCGACCCCCACCTGGCTCCACTCTCCTGTCAGGGAGTTGATGAGAGCAGTAAAGTTCCCCCGAGCCTCCTTTTCTCCAGGCTGAGCTCCCCAGCTCCTTCAGCCGCTCCTCATCAGAGTTGTGCCCCAGACCCTTCACCAGCTGCATTGTCCTTCTCTGGACATGCTCCAGCACCTGGATGTCCTTCCTGAATTGAAGGGCCCAAAACTGACCCCAGGATGGGGTGTGGCCTCACCAGTGCTGAGTACAGGGCAAGAATCATTTCTAGTCCTGCTGGCCACGCTATTCCTGGTACGGGCCAGGATGCCATAAAGCCCCGTGCCAAAGAGATACAGCACAGTGAGCAGGCTGGCTGCTGATGCTGCATTCCTGTTGTGTCAGGTACAGCACACTGCAGGCTGCTGAGATACATCCCAAATATACAAACAGCTTGTGCCATTTCAAACCTGGTAATATGTGAATAATTTAAAGTGCAGATCAAAGTCAGCAGTCAAAATGGATATTTAAAAGTCCCAATATCTGACACTTTCAAATTCCACCCCAGGCTGTAAAGTGTTGGGTGTGTTTCTGATGTGCGGAGCAGTGCAGGCACAGGTCACACTGCTGGCTGGGCCCTGCTCCACACGATGGTTTGTTGAGGGTGCAAAGGGACAGTGAGAGGACACACAGAAGTGCCATTGCAGGGCATTGTCTTCTCTGCACTGAACAGACTTCATCTGTTGGTAAGAAGGAAACACGAAAGCAGCAGAGGCAATACCAGTGCTGGAGTTAGAAGGTTGGTCACAGTTGCTGAAGGTGCTCAAGGGCTGCGGGTGGCTGCAACCCCAAGGGTAAGGGAGTGTAGGGCTTAAATTGACTTTATAAAATAAACTTTAAGGAAGCTGTGTGATGTAACAAAGCACTTGAAGAGCAGTTGGCAGTGCTGTGCTGATGGTGTAGGGGTGTGAGTGCATTCGTTGTTAGCACGAGCCAGGTAACATCAGGGTTTTGCTCACAGAATGAGCTGGAAACATGTGCATCCAAAATAGCCGTTGTATCTGGGTCAGAGACTCCAAACTGTGAAGTAGGATGGCTGTATTTGCTATATTTAGAACAGGTTTTCCAGTGCCGATGAACATCTCAGTCTATGGGAACCTTGCGCCCTTCACGGGGGAAACCGACCGCCCTCGCACCCGCAACCCCGCGGCGGCCCGAGCGCGGCCGAGAGCCGGCCCGGGGCGGGACCGCCGCGGCCGGGGGCGGGGCGGGGCGGGAGCTCCGCGGCGGAACTGCTGTGCGCGAACTGCTGTGCCGCGGAACTGCTGTGCGCGAAACCTCGCGGCGGCCGCGGAGGTGTCGGTCCGCCCGGCGGTGGCGCGGAGGTGGGCCGCCCGCACGTGTCGGCGGAGCGATGGCGGCGGGGCCCGTCCCGGGTATCCCGGGCATCCAGGGCATCCAGACGGGCCTTAGGGTAACGGGAGCGGCCGCCGCGCGCCCCGAGCGCTTCCTCAGGTACGCGGCGGGGGGAAGCATTGGTAGCGCTAGAGAAAAACCCGGTGTAAAGGCCGAGGAGGGAGGCAGTCACCGCTGAGGATGAGGCTGTGGAGGAAGGCAGTCATCGCTTCAAAACCAAGGGTCTGGGTCTCGGGTGTTTGAGGTGTTTAGTACTGTACTGTTTACTCCTGGAGCGCTTAAATGTGATCGACATATTGTAAGATGCAGCTAGAGAAGGGTGGAGTGTTTTGTGCAGCTGCTGCTTCATACACAAAGTGTAATGAAGCTGAAAGGATTAGGAATTATGTCTTTATTTCTAGGAGTGTGTAGTGGCAGTACTCCAGGAGATGTGTAGAAGGTTAAGCCACCCCAGTAGTTGTTGAGAGCTGCTGTTCTGTAGCACCAGAATGCCTAAGCAGATGTGACCATGCGATAACTTCATGGAAGGCGTAAAACGAATCAGAGCTAGTAAAATCTGCAAAGTAAAAAACTAATACGAACTTGTGCTTTTAATTCTCTTTTTCCCCCTGCTCTTAGTGTGCAAGAGGGACTGGCTGCCAACTTCAGAGCATTGACAAAGACTCTCTATGATTTGAATAAAGGAAACCACATCGTGCCTGGGGGTCCTCTAAAGGAGCTGGTGATCGAAAACTTTGATGAGGAACAGATTTGGCAACAACTGGAGCTCCGGAACAGTGCAGTTCTCGATTTCTTCAGGAAATCCATTGCCAGGGATGCCAAGGATGACAATCTTTGTCTTCTCTCGGACCAGGAAGAGGATGGCTCTGATGCAAAGCCCAGCAGTGAGGAGGAATTGGAAGATAACGTAATGGAAGCAGAAGCTGAACAGAAGGATGTTTATACAAAAGATATAACTAAAGCTAAAGAAAAGCAAAGTAAACTCAGAGAAAGCATAATGCAGAAATACAGTGATGAGGATTCTGATATTGACTTTGATATTGAAGCACTGGAGCAACAAACTAAAACGGCCAAGGAAACCACATTGAAAAAAGTGGGAAGAAAATCTGTAGTGGATGACAAGTTTTTCAAACTGGCTGAGATGGAAGCTTTTTTAGAACAGGCAGAGAAGCAAGATGATGAGGAGGAAAATGATATTAATTATTTTGAAGACATTATCTCAGATGATGAGGAAGAAGAGTCAGAAGACACTAAAGTCAAAGTAAGAATATTAGTAAAATAATTTTCTGATATCTCTTTTCTTTTAAATCAAGATCTGGTATCTGTTAGGGTGACTATAAACTGTTGAACTCCGAGTAGAAACTACCTAGTTAAGTTTGCTGAGGTGACTAATAGACTCCTTCTGAAGCTTTACTTTAACAATGTATTTAACATTGATATCTGGTAAGAAAATGGCCTAGTGTGGAAGAATATAGCATTCTGTTATTCCAGTCGCTCCTTAGATGGGTCTTGGGTCTTTTGCTTAAGTAAAGGAAGAGATAATATGTGACAAGGAATAAACCACCTTGCAGAATTTGGGACCCAACAATGAAAAGGTTTGTCACTCAGCATTGGCAGCTGGCAGGTACAGATCACAAAGGAGACTGATGCAGAGCAAAAGGCTTTTTCCAGGGACACAGCTTTGTAACTCTGACGTGGCTTAAGCTGATGAGTAATTGTTTGAAAAATAAATCTTTTGTTATTTAATATTACCAGAGATATTCTTACTAGAAGTAAGAAATGTACCCAGGGAATTTGTGTGCTTTCCAACACGTATTTGGCAAAATCTAGCACTCCTTGACTTCCATATATTCAAGTGGTAGGGTATTTTAAATACTTGTAAAAGAAATAAGTTTTACTAAGATGCCCCACCGCAGGTCAGTGCTTCACTAAACTGAATTACTGTTCCACCAGTAGTGCCATTCCCCAGGCACTAAAGGCTTCAGAAGAGAGGATACCCTTTGATATCTGTCAGTCTTAACAGCTGCCATTTGTTGTTTGGTTTTTTCCTTTTCTCTCTCACCTTTTTAGCCAACTAAAAGTTCTAGAGATATGACATACAAAGATTTCTTTGATCCAGTTGATGGTGATGATGGTGACTTAGTAGGTAATGACGTTGAAGATGGTCAGGAAGAGGAAGCAGACAGTGCTATTGAAGAGCAAAATGAAGAAAGCATGTCTGAGTAAGTATTTGCATTATTTGCACTTGAAAATGTCCTCGTAATTTTACACTGAGGTGAAGCAGAAAAACCAGTGGGAATGCCAGGCTCACTTTCATGGTTTGCTATTCTCAGTTAACTGTTGTATGTGCATGGTTTGCATTATCACTTTGTTTCAGATTGGTTTGTTTACCTTTTTTTTTGGAGTATTGTCTCTTGATATTTATTTGCATAAAGCATTTAAGAGCTGTAACTTCATTTTTTTGAAATGATTTTCATTATCTAGAAGTTTCCCTAGTGTCCCCTAGCTTTAGGAGGGATCTTTGAAACGTGTTGTATTTCTGAGCTGTGAGTTGTAACAGGTGAACGTCTAAGGGCTGAAATATCTTCATGTAAAAAATTATGGAGGCTTTTCAACCTTTATTTGATCTTAAATTTTATTGTTACAGGTTTGAGGATATGGATGAAATGGTGGAGAATATGAGAAGTAAAGAAGCATCTAAAAAAGTTACTTTTAGTTTGCCAGATGACAGTGACACAGAAGATGTGACTGAAATGCAATTAGAGAAGGGCATTGAGCCCAGTGAAACAAAGTCATCTTTTGAGAAGAGGCAGGAGAAGGTAACTGTGTGTCAGTTTTCATTGGGGTTTTTTATTTTTATTTTCATTTTGCTAATACTTCAAAACAATGGCAAATATTTTTCTTACTGGTTGTGTAATTTGTTCTGGCAAGTATGGAGAGGGTATTTACAATGTAAGAAAAAAAATAGGGCTTATCTACATCTTATATATATGCAATCATATGTTCCCTCTTTTTTATATGAGGAGGGGTTAGAAGGACCTGAAATAAGTATTAATTTCTTACCTTGAATTTATTAGTGAGCTCTGTTTTAAACTTCTTAGGAAATTGTGTTTTTCAGATGAGCA